TGTTCGTATCATATTCATTATTGTTGCACAAACTGCTTTTATTAAATTTCAGATATAAATAGGTTGATATAGAAGTTATTCAATTTGAATGGGTGATTTCGAATCTTAACAATTAATTAATTACGATAAAGATCTAGATAAGATTTTTGTTAGGATAATAATTATCACATTTCCCACGATTTATATTTGTAAGATTTGTTACATCTAAAAATAAATAGCACATTTTACGAGAAGAAACTTTTACCATTCTCACAAATTTATACTTTTTATTATATAAAAAAATGGAGAAATCCTTTTACGTTTTACTTTTTCATTTGTAGGTCTTCGCATCCGATGTGATGTGATATCATATCGTTCTTTATTTGTGACTTTTACGTCGCCAGAACAATGAATTTATCTCCTCTAAAAGAACAATGTATTTTTGCTTTCAAAGAACGCCACGGGAAATGTAAACAAAATCTGTAGATTAATTAGAAAAATATTTTTTTTTTCGTATCCTTTCTTGTCTTTCTTTAATATATTTTTTTTAAAAAATATAAAAGCAGATAAAATTTTAAAATGAATGTTATTATGAAGGGAGTGTTAGAAATCAAAATTTATTGAATTTTACTTCCGTAGAATACAAGTATGAAAGTAAATGAGTGGCAGTATTCAATTTCTTGAAGAACATCCTGAACTAGTGTTTGACCACAATGGTTTTTACAATTGCATATTTTAAAAACTAATTTTACGAGACTCTCTGGCTGAAAAATGTCATAAAATCTTTAGGAAGACCTACTCCCGATTTAAAACTTATTCAGGAAGACAAAAGTATAAAAGGTTATTATACAAGACGATTTTTAATTCGAGTGTATAACAAAAATAAATAAATATGTGGGTGTGATGCTCTGCACACATTTTTTTCTTATTATTTTACTCCGATGGAACTAATAACGCGTGGTCGAGAGAAGAATTTAATGATTCAAAGCACCTAAATGAAAAATTATGTTTTAATTATGAAGACTACATCACCTACCTATTTAATGCAGTAAAAATGAGCCTACCTGTTCAAAGTGCTCTTTACACCATCCTTTGCAGTATTATCAATCCTAAATTCATCAATGCTGCAATTGCTTCTAAAAATTGTCACTTCTATACAAATTAACTTATTAAATTCAAAAACTGTATTATACAAAAGGAGAAAAGGGAAACTCAAAGTATTTACCAAAGGCTATCATCAGGCCTAGAAGAAAAACAAAACAAACAATTGTATGGGGAAAAACCAACGAATAAAATACTAACTACACATTTTAAAAAATAATGAAAATCAACAGAATAAGGTAACCTTAGACACAGTGGCGTAGTCATGGGGGGTCAGAACCCCCCCTATGGAGAGCCTTTGCATCACCATCCCCCTATCTTATTGGCGCTGATCGAGATTAACTGTTTGTTAAGTCCCCCAATAGTTCTCAAAAACCCCGCTATAAATAATTTCTGGCTACGCTACTGCTTAGACACAATTTAATGATTAATTGTACCTCCAGTAACTTTATCCCTGTTGATTTTCATTCTGTTTTAAAATTTGTATTTTTTATAATTGGTTATTTTGTTTTTCTTGCAATACTGATGATGGCCTTTGACCGAAACTAGTTGCCCTTAATAATAAATATATATTTTTTATAAGTTTCCCTTTCTCCTTTACGGATTATACCACTTTTATGCAGTGGATAACTTATTCACTCTAATATACCTTCTCAATAGCATACGAGTTTACTCACATATTACAGTTTTATTGCTCTTCATGATGCCCACATTTTTTTTTTAATACCAAATCGTTCTCAGATAATGTTTCAACAAAGTGTTACACAATTTTCAGGTTATTTTCTTTCGAAAACATGGTGTAACTGTATCATAGACGTTGAATGACTTAATCTTAGTCAATTTAATGTCTATAGAATTTACCATAAATATAATATAAACGGTACTTTGATCTTTTGATTTTAATAATCCTTTATAGGTATGATAATTGATTTTTGTGTAATTTTTTAGAAGTACACTTTCTCTTTTTTTAGGAAGAATTATCTGTAACAATTACATTAAGATTTTGCCATTTTGGGATAGAGTTTGAACCATGACTTAAAAAAGTACTCTCAATATCATTGTGATAATCTAATGATGCATCTTTAATATTTTTTAGCCGATAGTAACAACACATTACCGACTCATTAATTTTAGCCGCCGCAATGTAAAATTATTATTAATTTTCCTCTGTTAAAAGAAACTGTAGTTTAACATTCTTTACTATTACTTGTCCAGCTTTTTGTCACAATATTGTGAGTATCGAATCAGTATTCGTCCAAACATACAATATTTAGTTTTGCTTTCCTGTATTTGGTTATAGTTCATGGTGTCCTTAAGGTAGTATTTTGGGTCCTTTACACGATGTATACCTCATTTTTGCATACGAATTTGTTGAATTGTAAATATCACTTACATACTGATGATACCCAAGTGTGCTACTCTTTTGATCTATCTGATATTGAGTTAGTAAATTAAATTCAGATCTTTCTGTAATTGAGTCCATATCTAATAAACATATTTTGAAAATAAATGCCAAAAAGTCTTGTGTTCTTGTATTTTGTAGTTAAACATTAAAAAAAAATGAAATTTACCCAAGGTAAAGTTGGTAATAGGACTGGAATTATTAAAATCACTGATTCTTGCAAAAATCTCGGTTTATTCATTGATTCTTACCTTAAATTCAATATTATTTCCAAGAAAAAGGGTGATAGTTTTAGAAAAAAATAAGAGATCGATTTTCAAGATAAGTTGGATGACTTGTTTGATATTGCTCATGAAGGTGCACTTTTATTTATTAAAATACCAAAAGACTGCAAAATCAAAGAAAAAAGAAAGGCCTGGTCTTATGTGTGGAATTGATGTTAAATTGTTAGAACACGAAAAAGGGACTGAATAACGAAATATCAAAGAGTCTGAGCATATTGAAAAAGTAAATACGAGATCGCGGTATTACATAAGTCCTATTATTTTTACATGACATTTTATTTTAAATAAAAGTACTACACCAACATTATTAAACTCTCGCAGTCAAACACTAATAGATATCACTTTATTCACAACTGGTATCATCTATAAATCAATTCTAAACTGGCAAGTATCTAATTACATTTCGATGTCAGACCACCACTGGTTAACATTCAAAATAAACTTGATCTTGCCGACCTCCACGCTATCTCGGAACCCTAGGAAGATGGACAGGGCAACCTGTGTCTACCTTCTTTAAGAGGCTCTGAAAGAAATGGCCGAAACACCAAACAATAACAATGCTTTGGAGATTACTCGAATACTATCCAAAGCACAATTAACAATGCCTATAAGAAATCCTGTTCCCTGAGGCTGATCCAACACGATCAGACGACTACCGCATGGTGGTGTCACGAGTTGGACCACCTCAGGAGGATGGCTAGGAAATCCTTTAATAAGGCAAGAACCACAAAACTCAAAGAGGACTAGGATACTTACAAATCTCACCTCGGAGAATACAAAAAAATCGTCGGACAAAACAAAGAGATGCTTGGAGATCATAGTGTGAAGAAATCGAAGATTTCTCGCAGGCAGCGAGACTTCAAAACGCTTCCTTAAAAGATCCACATCGAAGCATTGGTGCGCTAATCAAAGAGGATGGCACGAAAACTGCCAACCTCGAAGATAGCATCAAGCTTCTGCTGTCAACACACTTCCTTGACTCGGTCATCACAGACGTGGCTGACTGGGCAGGGGAAGAATACAACCATCTATGAATGGCAAACTGCCAAACACATTGTAGACGATAAAAAATTAAATGGACAATATCCAGCTTCTCTCCATTTAAATCGTCAGGACCTGATGGTATCCATCCAGCTCTACTTCAGTGGGGTCTGGAAGAACTCACACCGCACCTCAGATCTTCGTTGGCTCTGAGGTATATCCCCAAAAAATGGAGAGAGGTAAAAGTGGTATTCATAACCAGACCTAAAAGAATGGATAACAGTGTCCAAAAAACATACTGACCAATTAGTCTAATATCGCTTTCCATGAAGATATTGGAAAGGCTATGCGAAAGGTACAAAAGGGATGAGGTGATTACAACAACACCACTACACTCAAACCAACATGCATACACCCCAGGTAGATCTACTGATTCAGCCTTTCATCTAGTTGCTGGCTGGATAGAGAGATCCCTGGACAATAAGGAGTCCGCCTTGGGTGTTTTTATAGACATAGAAAGTACTTTTGATAAAACGACCTGTCCCAAGATAATACATTCACTAACTAACAGGAATATTCCACATATGGGGTTAGTGGGTGAATACATAACATGCTCTCAAAGCGAGCAGTAAACATGTGTAGAAGAAATGAATATAAGAGGCTTCGTTGCGAAGGGATGTCCACAGAGAGGGGTGCTATCACCTCTACAGTGGAACATGGTACTCGATACCCTCATCAGCCGCCTCAATAATGACAGTCACTACAAAATAGCATATACAGATGACCTGGTCTTATCCCAACGTTTCAATGTTCAAACGTTTACAAGAGTTTTGGCCTATAGTAAATAAGAAAAATTACAAATCTAAACACAAAAATTAAACTCTTCTCTTCGTTCAGATAGCCTTAAAAAAACCACAGCCAACAGATGATGATAGGTGGTTTTAATATTCCTGAATATACGGCTCTAATCAGTCCTCCTAGTTTTCTCAGGCTCAGTAGTGTCGATTAAATCATGTTATAAATAATATTAATCGCTTGTCAGATCTCATTCCTTATAACGAACAAGTTGTAAGATCAAATGAAATTATTGTAGAAGACAATTATTATCCTGCACATACAATTTTGTTAAAAGAAAAGTTAAAATTATGAGACTTTGTACTTTGAATTCCAGTTGATTGATTGAACCTTTTTAAAAGATAACGTAGGCTTGTGATTCTATATTTTATTAAGTAGGAAAATGAAACACATGCTTAGGCCAATTAATATATTTAATTAATATTGACAGAATTTGTGAATGTTGTACCCTTTTCACACATATATAAATATCAGATGTTTTTTTATACTATTCAATGATATAAGTTTCATTTCCATATTATCACATCTATACATAAATACATAATTACACGACTAATACTAAAGAAATTGAATTAGACATGCAAACCCACTGAGGATGTGGCTGGATAAATCTTTAGTGGGTATGCAGCTAACTGTTTGGTATAAAAGAAGCTGTCATTTAACCTAGAATATTCTTTTTTGGTTCTTAAAAATTTACTTAATAATGTAATAAAAAATAAGGACAAATTTACTATTTTTTTTATTTTTAAAAAAGGTAATCAAATTATCTTCACAAACTAGGTTTCTAAAAACTTCTTTTATACCTTGAAAAATTCAACCACTTCTTTTATCGAATCGATGTTAATATTGACAACTTGAAATAAATCACTAAGTAAATATAAAAATATAGAGAAAGCAATGTTAATATACCCTTTTTTTTTTAAGAGTTACAACTCAGGTCCTTTCAGCTAGTATGGGACTGAAATTTCAATAAAATAGATTCATTAACCAATTTCGCGCAGTGGTCTGGACCAAAAGTTTCAAACGTTTTCCCTTTTATACAAAAATCAGTCCTTTTAAAAACAATAGAAGTTAGAGAAGTTATTTGAAACTTCTGATCCTTAACTAAGAGATCCTTTGTGAAACAAGAACAGGATTATAAAAATTAAATCTAACTGAATTTAAAACCAAAGTTTAAGGAATATAGATAACATGATCCTGTTTTAATTTCACATATTTATTTCTGGTGGCTTTTTATTTAGGTCTAACCCCACTTTTGGAAGAGACCCATGCGTTGACATCTGCAATTCGATCCCCATAAGTTGCATCGGCAAGAACTGTTGTAGCAACAGTCGTTGGGTCGATGGTCGCAGTTTCCTCCTCTTCTAACGCAAGCTCGTCTGAAAAGGTAAATTAAGGAGGAACGTCTGGAATAGAATTAGAAATCACTTTACAACCACTCTATATAATTACCAAGCCAACACTGTTTCTGTAGTTCAAGTACCTTAAGTAATTCACTTGCAGAATTCCAAGAATTTAAAATTGTTAGGACACGGTGTAATAACTTAAAATACTTAAACATTCAACACCTATAACAACGTTCAAGTCTACTGTTGCAAAGGAGATATTTGTACGAAAATATATGGTCTATGGTCTATGGTCTTCTTTTTGAACTCAATTCGTTCGAATTCTGGAACTAAAAGTTCCATAATAGGTAAATATGTTAAGATGTACAAGATGTAGGGTTATTATTTAAAAAAGCCAAACAGATGACGCTAGTGAATTGTAATACAGTCAAAAATCGCTTGTTTAGAAGAGTTGTTAAGATGCTCTCTACAACTGCAATATCCTCAAATGCTAGAAACACCTTACAAAGCTTACAGAACTGCATAAAAAACGCACAGAATGCAAGTATGGAGAGACATGCAGGTACCACAAGAATGCAACCTTACTGGTGAAACGAATTCACAAATAGAATAAGAAAAGAATGTAATTTAGCCAGAAGGAAACTGTCAAGAACTGGAAACAACGTAGTGACTGCGCGATTGGAAGATGAATATAAACAGACTAGAAAAGACTTAAAAAATTAAATTAAAAGGGCGAAAAAAAAGGTGGAAGAACATCTGCGCCCAACTTAAACATAACGTCTAGAGATAACTCTACAAACTAGTAACTGACAGGATACCGCGTTTTAACTCTACGTACGAGCTGGAGAAAGATGAAAAATTGAAGACTATCAAAAAACTCTTTCCTCGGTGTAACTATTACCAGGCCCTTTAAAGTTCAAGAACTTAACGAAGCTGGAAAAAAGGCAAGGTCCCTAGTGCAGATGCTAGTTTTACAGAGTCAGTGAAAATAGAAATTGATGAGTTCCCGCAAAACGTGCTGAATATTTTCAATAGTATGTTGAATCTGCAGGACTTTCTTATTGCTTTGAACAGAGCACAGGTTATTTTAATCCCAAAGCTGCAGGCCACTTGGTCTAATCGATATATTGGGTAAGCTGTTTAAACAACTAAGACTGAAAGTAGAGCTAAATGAGAAGGATGCTATCTCTGAAGGACAATTTGAGTTTAGGAGCGGTAGATCAACAGTAAATGCTATAGAATCCGTAATGAATCTGGTGAACGGAGAAAATTATACCTGGAGTACACCTATTTTAAATAGACGTGAAAAGCGCATTTAAGACGGTTGGTTAGAGTTTAATAATGAATAAGTTACAGGAAACAAGAATAAGTCAAAATATAATTAATATCATTGAAAGGTACTTAAGAGATAGATCATTGCAAGTGGATACCCAGAGAGTTCCACATGGTTCGGTCCTTGGTCCGACACTGTGGAACTTCCTATATGACAGAATCCCCAGAGATCTAGGTAATGGATGTAGCACAGTTGCATGCCTTGTCCTGATCGTAAAGGCTAATACAAAAGAGGACTTAATGTATAATGCCAGTTGGGCACTAATGGAGGTACATCAATGGATGAAAACACATAAACTTGAAATAGCACCAGAAAAAAACCTAAGGTATTATTATCAAAGAAAAGAGAGTTGGAAGGGGATTTAATTCAAATTAGAGAACTCTGTCATTACTCCAGCAAAAGCAATCAAATATTTGGGAGTATGAATTGATGACAAATGCATTTATAATATCCATGTTAAGAAGACAGCAGAAAAAGCAGAGAAGTAAGTGACAGCTCTATCAAGAACCTTCACTTATATGGGAAGACCAAGCAGCACCAGAAGGCAATTGATGTATAGGGTGGTAAAATCAATAGTTCTGTATGCGGCAGCAATATGGGCTATAAGAAGTTGGTGTTACTTAGCTAACAGCTAAAGAAGCACTAAAAGCAATCACTGGATGTATCTCTTTGAATATACTTGTAGATGAAAGAGCAAAGTTATATGATAGACGAACAAATGATGTGGAAGTTAGAAGATCTGAAAGCAAGATCAATAGATATCTGGCTAAATAAGTGGAGCAGCAATACCGACAAAGCGGTGGGGACGAGGAGTTTAATTTCAAATAGCACAAATCGGTTAGATTGCAAGTTCAAGGAAACAAAGTAATATTTGAGCCAATTTTTTTCTTTTAGAGCTTACACCTACAGAATTGGTAAGACACCTGACAGTAATTATATAAACTGTAACGAACACACATTTTTCAAATGCAACAGATGGGCAATATACAGACAGGTAATATAATTATCACTAGAACCCTGGAAAATATTATGTCCAAACTTATGGCTGACAAAAAGAAATGGGTAAAAGGAACAATAGACATAATAGAGATTGTGAAGTATAAAGAGAAAGAGAAAAGAGACAATCAAGAAAGATAACGTAAAGACTGACAAAGATAAATGAAGCAATGCTCGCAAGAGTTGTATCGAAGTATCTGTGACAAGAGGTGGTTTTAGCAGTTTTATCCAGTAGAATCCTACACTTATGGGTTCACTTTCCAGATAAGTATTCTTTGGAAGATTTTTACCAAAGTGGGAGTATTAACAATATTTAACGTATTTTAAATGATTGATAAAACTTTTATAGATATGACACAAAATCCGTTCTGAAAGTTACCTCCTTGTAGGTTGCTAGCCACTTTAATTTCCAGTCGGTAAGAAGAACTGCATCCATGTACTTGTGCTTACTTATTAGACGACTGAGTTAACAGAGAATGTAAACAATAGCTTCATTTGATTACACACATTGTACGGTATGTCAAACAATTAATTCCACGTTAGGCAAGTTCTGAACATATAACCAATATTTGCAATTCAATAACGTTAAATTAATAATTTGTGGTTCTATGCAAATTATGTTTCTAATTGACCCGTTCGACTAATTAATATGTTAGAATATTATAATTAATATAGCCTAATTGAAAATATATTTATAGTACCTGCACCTATTTACCTTTTTATTGTATATTACATTACGAGTGTAGAAAGTGACATTTTTCACACGAGTGGGAAATATTGTCATCAATGCATAAGCCGAGTGCGACAATGACGCGAGTGTGAAAAATCACTTACACACAAGTGATGTACACTGTTTTTTCTTACGACTACAAAATAATTTTATCAAAAAAATGTAAGTAATCTGGCTATAAGAAGTGGCTGCCTTCAGATTTGTTTATTTATGTGCCTTATTGAATAATTTTTAAAGCGTTTTACAGATAGCATTTTGTTAAAATTAATTGTGATTTCATTTACAAACAATTTCAGAGAATGATAATGCATTATTTTTTTCATTAGTTAATTTTTTTTAAACAAATAAGTTGAACAACCGTGAATAAACATTTTTTTTCTGATCAGTAATTAAAATAGTACAAAATGAATAGCGAAAACAATAATTGTAGGGTTATATTATAATAAATAATAGGTTTTTTTTTAAATAAATAAACATCAATAGTTTTTTTCAATTTTCATTTTTTTTCAAAATAAAAAAATATTCATGGGGATTTGAACCAGCGTCACGAAATGGTCGCGAAATGCCAAGTTCAAATAGTTATACCCTATACGATCTGCGCTATTACGGTTATGTTATTTGACTTATCTAAACAAATATGTATATGATGCAGAAATAAGCAAAAATAATATAGGTAATTATTAAAATTATTTTAATAATTTGTTAAAAAGAAATGTCTATATTTAAAAATTAATGTTAACAATTATAATTAAATCGTTTTTACTATTAAAATGGACGTGACATCAATCAAATTAGAAATTAGACGTCTGACATATTTGACAGCTTATACGGAAAGTAGTAGATTCATATTCACATACGGGTGGAAAGTAGATTTATCCACGCATGTGTGATATAGGACACTTCCCATAAGACTAAATAGTACGATAGGTGAAACTTTTCGAGGTGGTCGTAGGAAAAATATTTTATTGAACGCCAGTTAATAATTTCTTTTTTTTTATTATTTCTGACAATGATTTCGTTTTAAGACACAAAAAATCAACATACATTGTTTGACCTATAAAATCTGCCATAATAATAAATAATAAATACAGTGTGGAAAAGCCAAATGGAATAAATTCATTATTTCGATTACTGTACATATTTATAGAAAATCCCGAAACACGTCAAATTTAAATTATAAATTGACATTCTTTAAAGTGAAAATGTGATCCCTACCTTCAACCCCCTTTGAGTAACAGTTACAACCCCTAATTTTTTAAATAGGAAGTATAGGCTTGTAATATACCGTTTGCAAGGTCTCTTCATTCTCTATCCAAAAATGTTATTGTTTTTAAATTTATTGCAAAAATTAACATAAAGAAAATAAAATCATCTTATTACCGTATTGATAGAGTGGTTATTGTTTTATCGTCTGTTCTCACAAAAAGAATTGTGTTCTGTATTTACAATTATTTTACGATTTTATTTTAACCTTACAATATTTTTAAAGATCAAGTTTTAATCAATGGACTTTGATATTTTCGTACAAACGTCGATATAGTTGACATCGAGTCTAATTTGGTGGTTATATAGCGATTTCTAATTTTTCTATTGCATCTACAAATAATAAATACAGTGTAAAATATAAAACATATAAAGCGAAAATACAATTATTACGAGCTATTTGTAATAGCAAATTAAAAGTAATCGAGTCTAAAACGGTATTGTAATGAGGATAATCGAAAAATCACTGTTAGGTATATTAAAAAAGGCATACAATGGAAATAAATTAACCAAACTTTATTCAAACGTAATAGAACTTTTTTTATTAGTGGTTTTAATAAAGCGATTTTTCAGAACAATGCTAATAATACCTATACCAATGAAAATAATACCTTTAAGATTTGTATTAAATATCGGTTAATTAGTAAATAATTATTTTTAATCCTCTATGATTATCAGCCTTTTAATTTTTATAATGCCGTTTTAGACGTTTCAGTTAGAATGCTTCTTCACTTTTTA